AAACTCATCTTCACTACTGCTTAATTCACAAAAATTACCAGTCGTTTTGCCAAATTTAGAAGCCCTCGGTCGTTTTAAATATTAAAAAAAGGACTAATAGCAAAAAAAAGGCTAAAATATCTTAAAATTATCTTCAAAATACAACACTGTTTATCCCTGCTATATGTAATTTATTCAACTTTTTGATGCAAACTGAGTCATTGTTTATAAAATAGCCTGTGCCTCACAGAGTATGTTTGTCCACTCAGGTGGACAGCCGTCCCCAAAGTGTTAGTTTTACGAGATATCTTTATATTGTAAGAATGCCAACACACTTTAGTGCATTCTTGCAAAAAGTGCAAAAAGAGCCCTTCATAGTCGATCAATTTTGAAAATTTTAAATTCATAGTTTATCAAAAGGTCCTTAGTTCTTGAAAACTTGGGGCAATTGTGTCATTATTTTTGACTGTGGTCCTAAATTATCATTTAGAAATACGGATTCAGAGTTTAAATAAACAAAATTAATAACTAGTGTGGTGTATGGCATCGTGCCTTAAGGCAAATTGCTGGAACTTCCCGTACCGTAACGAAATGTTCGAAAAATACTGAATGTTTTCAAATAGATTTTTATAAATATTGTAACATTGTCTAATATTTATAAGAATTATATAAACTAAATTGGAAAGTTGAAATTTTTTGTTTAAAGTATATTAGAACAGTTCATTTGTTTAAAGTATATTAGAACAGATCATTGATCAAAAATGATCATTAGGCATATGCACATCAGATATTTTATAGATATTTTAATAATAAGAATCAATTTTATTACCATTTTTTTAGGTTTCGTACCAAGATTTCTAATTTTTAAAGTTCACTTATACGGTTCAAACAAATTTCAAAATTTTCGTATTTTTTTTTTTTTTTAATTTTCAAACATTTATATATAAAAATACATGAATTTTAAATTTACAATTCAGTTTAAATATATATATATATATATATATATATATATATATATATCTATATATATTTTATATGCGCTATTTTACTCGTAAGAAATATATCCTCAGATGAATTCATTCGACATCTCTTCTTAATGTAAACATTCTCAAGTGTTTTGAGCGATAAGATCGTCTCTGTATATTATATAAATGAAAAAATTAATAGCAATTAAAATTATTCTTTTGAAAATATTAAAACAACTGTTATTAATCATTGATCAATATTTATTGATTTAATTATAATTAAAGCATAACTATAGTTTTCCTCGAATATTTAATTTTGGTACGGGAAGTTCCAGCAATTTGCCTTAAGACACGATGCCATGCACCACTAGTTTAGACATTTGTTGTTATAATAAATATACTATAATAGTATCATATGATCAATTTTCTAATTTTAATTTAAACTTCACTATTATACGACAAATAAACGGCTCGGCGGATCTTTATCAAAAATAATCAGAACGATTTTCAACTAATATTTTTTAAACAGTTTTTAAATTTTCAAAATCAGTTCAGAATTATTAGCAAAAATAAGACAAAAAAATTACACATTTCTGTTAAGAAGGGAGGGGGGGGGGGTAGTCTATTTTTCACGTGATTGATATTTTAAGGACTTTTGGACACGCTCACCCCTTGGTGCTACGTGGTGATATGCAAAATTACCGCCCTCCCCCAACAAACTTAACGTTAAATTTTTCATAATTGTAATTTTTTTTATTTTTTTTAGACCAAAAAACAAAAAATGTGGTTTATCAAAGAACACTTCAATGAAACGTATAATTTGCGGATTCACTTTCATTTACTTAGAGAAGTTCAACTAAAAAACACTTCATTTTTGTAATCGAAGTAAATTCATTACTGTTGTGTAATAAAATCGAATTTTTTCTTTTCAGTTATAGAACAAATAAAAAATTTCTTCATCTTTCTCACGAAACCATCTGGTGGCGAAACGGAGTTCGTCGGGTTTGTTAGTCTAGAATGTTCAGAAACGCGCCAAAGAAGGCCACGTGCCATTTTCAAGATGTCTATATAATTTTATTTAAATTTTTGACTTAGACCACTTTCATAATTAACACTAAATGAATTCCATATAATGTTGAAATTACAACCACTATCTAATGGTTCATTTTTGACAATTTCGTAAAAATCACATTGAATACATTTAGTTTAAACTAATGTGGTATGAAATAACTGATAAACTCATTTTTTTTAAATTTTGACTTAGACCACTTTCATAATAATGGACACATATATATCCGTTACAACACTTCCGATACAACACATTACTGGTTGTAATATAACATCTACGGTAATACCAGCAAAAAATTCAAATGCAGTATAAATTATAAAATAAATTAAAATTCTATAACATTTGAATATTTTGCAGCACTATGGAAAGGACACACCTAGCTCCATCAAAATGTACACAAAAAGTTTCAAATAACAAAAGTAATTGAAAAAACAACACAAAGAGTCCACCAAACAAACCTTCCATAAAACCAAAATACACCAACCTCTGCCCGGACCTCCGACTTCTCCTCCTCCAACCGCCATCCTAAAATGTACGGCGTCGACCACCTATTCTTCGACCAGCAGCCCCGTCTGCTGCCCGGCGATCACCTGGACCACCTCGACCACCTCGATCACCTCGACCGCCACCTATCAACGTCCTCCTCGACCGCCGCCACCGCCCTCAACGGCGCCTGCTTCGACATGTGCTCCTCCGGCTACGACGAGCAGACCACCTCCAGCTACGACGCCGACGGCGGACAGAGCAGCGACTCGGACTGCTCCAGCTACGACGGATATGCGAGCGATCAGGAGAACAGCGACTGCACAGGAAAAGAGTAAGATAATAGATAGATTGTAAAAAAAGGGTGCGCGTGTAAGATTGAATGTGTAACTAACGATAAGTTAAAATAATTTGAATGTTTTTTTTTAGTTATTTTTTTAAACTTGCCGAAGGTTGTTTTTGCTAAAAAAGCCAAGTCTCTAATTTTGTGTTTTATTAACGTTTTAAGTAATTCTGAATCGTTTGATATGATATTTGAAAAAGTGTGTATGCGTATGTGTATATGAGCCAAATTTATATTTTTCATTAAATATTATTAACTTCCCGTAGGGTAAAATTTTTTGTAATGGGCCGAAAATCGGAATTGAAAATTTTTACATTTCTCGACGTTTTGAAGGTTTCTGAACATTTTACTGGCATACCTCAGAAAAAATGGATGTGTGTGTGTGTGTATGCATGTGTGTATGGATACAAATTTTCGCCCACGTTTTCGGGCGTACGAATCAACCGATTTGAATGGTTTAAAAAACATTCGATTCCTATTGATAAGGAGATGTGCTGATTAGTTTTTGGCAAAAGCAAGACCAGCCGTTACGGAGATAAGGAGCAAAGAGTGCAGAAAATAGAAATCAAGTTTTTGAGAGAACGGATCATCCGATTTGTATGATCCAAAAAACATTCAATTAGTAATGATTGGGAGAAGGGGTTATTAGTTTTTCGCAAAGGCAGGCCCAGCCATTTCGGAGATACAGAGCTAAATGTACAAAAAATGTCAGTTTTTGAGAGAACTAAGCGTCCGATTCAATTGATTCAAAGAACTTTATGCTTGTCTTAACCAAATAATTGATTTTGGAAAAAAATGTTCGTTTCATTTTTTTTTTTTTTTTAATATTTTGTATATCGAAAATAATTCAGATTTTATTTTTAAATCTGACTATAGTTCTAATATACTTTACAAATAATTTCAACTCTGCAATTCAGTTTATATAATTCTTATAAATATTAGACAATGTTACAATATTTATAACAATCTATTTGAAAACATTCAGTATTCCTCGAACATTTATGGTACGGGAAGTTCCAGCAATTTGCCTTAAGGCACGATGCCACCCACCCCACTAGTTTGTTTATAAATGGGCCAAATTTTTGTAATCAGAATTTTTGATTGTGAGTACAAACCTTTATTTTTGTGAACTATCTATGGGGTTTTACGCTTTTAAACAGTGTGTACAATTCTACACAATTTGTTTCATAATTAAATTTAAGAAGTTGAAATATATTAGTAACATCATTTCTAATCTACCCGACTAAAATCGCGAATTTTAATTTATATATTTTAAATCAATATGGAAAATAAAAACATCATTGGGGACAAAAAACCTGAATCCGAGACATTGCTTCTAAAAAAATTATGGACCCGTGGTGAAAATCCCGTACTTTTGTCACATTATATAATAAAAACCAAATGCAAAATAAACTAGTAGGCAGTTTGGCATTGTGCCTTATTGCAAATTGCTGGAACTTCCCGTACCAAAATTAAAAATCTTAGTACGGAATCAAAAATAATTTACACAAAATTTGTACACATTATTAAATTCTCTATAAAATATCTGATAATTTGATGTACATATGTCTAATGATCATTTTTGACCGCCAAATGGCATTTTTTTTTACTTTTTTTACTAGATCTCCCCGAAACCGCTAAACCTGTCTTCATTAAAATTTGATCAATTCTTCATCTTGTCAATACAAGTAAAATGTTTTTTGAATTATTAAAATCGGATGCTCCGTTCTCTTAAAAACTGAGTTACCATTTTTGGCACTTTTTGCCCCGTATCTTCGGAACGACTAGACCTGCTTTTGCCAAAAACTAATCAGCACGTCTCCTTATCAATACAAATCGAATGTTTTTTGAAATATTCAAATCGCTTCATCCGTGTTCCCGAAATCGTCGACGAAAATTCGTGTCCGAACACACACACACACACACACACACACACACACATATATCCATTTTTTCTAAGGTATGCCAAAATGTTCAGAAACCTTTGAAACGTAAAGATATATAAAAATCTTCATTTTCGATTTTTTTGCGATTACTATAACTTGCCCTACGGGAAGTTAAGAATAGGGTTTACATTTAATTTATTTACAGCAATTTGAGGAGAAGTTCAAAGTCATCCAACTCAAGACGACTGTCGTCGTCATGTCCGGCCAGGCAGCACATGGCCAGACAAGCCGCAAATTTGAGGGAAAGAAAAAGAATGCAGTCGATAAACGAGGCTTTTGAAGGGCTCCGGGCCCATGTTCCGACACTGCCCTACGAGAAGAGATTGAGCAAGGTGGATACGCTGAGATTGGCCATCGGATATATCAATTTCTTGGCGGAACTTGTAAGTGTAGGAGAAATTACTTAGTATAAATTTAGTTTTTGTCGACGTTGAACTAATTCTGAATCGTTTGCTCATCATTTTGTGTCAATAGGCTACAATAACATCTTTTTTTTCAGGTTCGAACAGACAGGAACGCAAACGAGCCAGGTTTGAGCAGTGCCAATAGGCCGGCTGTTAAGGAAGAACCCAGAAAAATTGTCCTCAGAGGTAAGTGGACGAATATATATGTCGCGACACTAATTTCATTTTTCAAATGAATGAAATGAATTATTATATGCATTCACCTTTTCGATTTCTGTTCAACTATATGTAACATGTTGGGATTGTTCATCTAACCCTAACGCGTTTTTTTGGATATAATTATATAATATTTAAACAAATATCGAATTTATATCGTTATTAACCTGCTCTTTTCGTTGATATATAAAAACCAAAATAGAGCACATTATTTGCCTTTTGGCAAGTTGCTTTTCAAACACAACTGTAAAACTCAAAGTTTTATATTCTAGTCTATGAAGTTTAGTTAATGACATAGCACATGAAAAACTGCTGGTAATTTTATATAATTCAAAAATACTATTTTTTTACAATTATATGAATTTAAAATATATATTAACGATTTAGATTTGCCTATTGTCGAGTTGCAGATTTTTTACCTAATTACTGTTTTGGTAAATGTTCACCTAAATATTGTTATTGTTATAAAATGTGACACTGTGTAAAATCAGTTAGTGCAAAGTTGCACAAAAAGTCGAGTGAAGTGATTTTAGTGAAGTGAAATCCAAATATAGTGAGGAAAAATTGGTGACAAATCGAGTTCATCTAATTTTACAGGTGAGTCATATTTTTGAATTTTTGAATATTTTATTTTTGTAGTATTTAAGATAAATTGTTTTAGTTTGTCGGATAAAAGATATGATTAAATCAATAAATAAAAGTAAATGCAATTTGGTTTTCTAGTGGGAGACCCACCCTCGCATTTTATTTTTATTAATGATTTAAATTATTTATTAATTGCCGTGTGAGATGAGAGAAAAACATCCCTTGTAATATCTGTCGGAAAAGGTTTTGTAATAAACATTCCCACGAATCTATGGACAACATATGCGTGATGATACAGAATTTATGTAATTAACCTGGATGACCCTCTCGAATGATGCATTTTCACACACACATACACAAATATATATACATATATATATATATATATATATATATAACAAATGTATTCTGAGTGGATGAATAGATTTTTATTTGGAAATATGAACAAACACCCCTCTTTTTTGCACTAATTTATTAAATAATAATTTTCGTTCAATATACTCGAGTATATTGAATGACTTGTAACGGATAACACATAATGCTAATTTAGGTTTCCATATTTTAAATTTTAAATTATAACACACTGATGATGAGACAAACCTAGTCTCGAAACGTTTGTGAAATTATTATTTAATAAATTAGTGCAAAAAAGAGTGTTGTTTGTTCATATTTCCAAATTAACACACACACATATATATATATATATATATATATATATATATATATATATATAAATGTAAATAAAAAAGATGAAATTTATTATCTGGGTCCAACATGTGCAAAAGTTCAAATTTAAAAAGTTACTAAATTCTGTTTTGTACATGCAGGATTAAACTAATTCGCAATTTACTAAACTATTTCTATTTAAAGACAAAATCAATATTATTTATTTTTGAATTTTCAAGAATTATTCGTTTTCGTAGTTTTATTGTTTTATTTCGGTTTATTTTAGACATTTTATACCAGGCTGTAAAGCATGAATAACAAATCATAATACATATACAAATGCATATGTAGATTCTAATATTTTCATTATTCAAAAAAAGTCTCATTTAGCAATAGCGCGATACTGTTTTTTGCATTTTCGGCAAGATGAGTTTTGTCTCATCATCTAAAACTCTAACAATTATAAAAATTTGGAATATTGGTACAAAAATATAGTGTGGTGTGCTCATATTCACATAATTAATATTCATTCCACTTTTAATACAAAATCCTACTGATATTTATCATACAGAATTGTAATGCAACACTCGTATAGGATTTGGAAAATCACATGCATTTATTAACGCTGACATTGAAAAAAACTAGACATATAGATATACATTTTCAAATTATATTAAATATTTTTATGATTATTAAAAAATGTAATATATTCTAGTTCTAAAATTCGACACCACGATCGCTAGTATCTAATTGGGGTTTTTTATCTAAGATGCACAATTGCGCGCGCGGTTCATGTCTTCGATTTTGCGCCGTTAGTTGCAACCACAAAAAGAAACACCATACACGTGTAAATAAATTATCATATACCTGTCCGGCTGCTTTCGCTTCCCATACAGTAAAAAATACGACTGGATTGGTAATTGCGACATAACAAAGCACTGCTTTAGCATTGGAGGCAAACTACAGGCCCACAATTAATCAAATTTAAAAACCTATTCTCTGTTTACTAATTTATTTATTACCATAGTATATTCTCAACTTAAACTAAAAGCAAAGAATTTCAATCCTTTTTGTATTTGAATCAAAAGTATGGGGTTCGGAAGGCTCGAACAACCTAACATCAAGCAATAGTGACATCAGTTTGCTATCTATATTTGAAAATATAGATAGCAAGTGAAAATAACCCTTACCTGAAATTGCTGCACCAATAAAAATCTAGTTGGTATTGATATTTAGCCTTGAGGCAAGTTACATGAACTTCCCGATATGTGTAAATAATCGAATTAATCAATATAAAATAAATTAATTTATGAGTGATTATAAGTATTCCGAGTGGATTTATTACACGTCATTGAAAACGAACGAACGAACACGTTAACTCGGAGTATTTTCTAAAAACAAATTTTCCAAAATCAATAATTTTTATAATTGAACCAGTTTTCGTAGGACTTTATTGATTTAGTATGTTCAAGACCAAGTACACTATCGTTATACCAACTAAATCATCTAATATTATTTTTAACAAACGTCAAAAAAACTACTCATTTTCACAAACTTTGATGAATTTTTTAAATTAAACTACTTGTTGTAAGGCCGTAATATTACAGTAAGTTCTATAAGACCATGATATACATCGCCAAAGAAAGTTTCATAAAAATCGGCTTATTTTTTTTCAACAGTTAATTACAAGAAATGATTCGGTAGATTTTCACCTAAAACTGATCAGTATCATTCCCAACTAATATTTTTCGAACAGTTTTTGATTTTTTAAAATCGATTCGGTGGAATGAGCTTAAATGTGGACGAAAAGTTTAACACTCTTTTTCAAATTACAAAGAAATGGCTCGGCAGATCGTCTCACAAAACTGACAAACTATAGTGCTCATTGAGATACATCGAATGGCTTATAAATTTCTGAAATTGGTTCAGGCGTTTTTGAGCAAAGGTCGATGACAAGTCAATTTTTGACAAATGCCAAAAAAACGATACCAATTTTTGCAAACTTTGACGAATTTTTAAAGCTAAACCAGTTGTCGTAGGGCCGTAATATTTTAGTATGATCTAGAAGACTACGATATCTACCGTCATAAAAATCACAAAAATCGTCGAATTTTTTTAAAAAAAACTTTATTGCAAGAAAACGGCCGGACCGATCTCTACCAAAAACTAATCAGCACGATTTCCAACCAATATCTTTCGAACGACTTTTGAATTTTCAAAATCGATTCAGAATTGCGAGCTAAAACGTGGACAAAACTTTTTTCACTTTTGTGCTATTTACAAAGAAACGGCTTGGTTGATCGTCGCGCAAAGTTGATAAATGCTAGTCCTTAACGAGCTACATCGAATGGCTTTTAATATTTTTGAAATCGATCCAGCCGTTTTTGAGAAAATGTCGATTTACGGCAAAAAATTTGTTTACATGCACGCACACACACATACACACACACCTACATACTTTTTCCAAATTTGGTCTCATTCGATTCAGAATGGCTTGAAACGTCGAGAAAATATAAAATTAGCGAAACGGATTTTTTTATGAAAACAAACTTTTTCTTCAGGAAGTTAATAAAAATTAACACGAAATTAACCCTTTCCACTCGCGATATGCAAAATTAATACGTAAATTGCCGCTGGGGCGGCGGCATCCGAGTAGGAAGGATTAAAATGATAGAAGAAGCACACCACTTGACTCGACTATCTCTGAAATTTATCCCTTTTCGCTTATCACCTTGGCCACACCTGTTACACCTCTCTCACACTTATATGTGTAATATATTATTACATACATGAAATGATTTTCATTTTAGGCGCGGCGCTCCACGCGAATCGACGTAAACAAAAACATAACATAAAAACGTGGTGCCTCAAAACAAACTTATATTGTTATAAAAAATTGTTTAACAGAATTAATAAAGTTATAAATAATTTGTATTATATAAATATGTCGTTGGATTGAAAGTGTTATTAAAAGTGTGTCAGTGGTTAACATGACGAACGGATAGATAAGATTAAATAGGTATGTAAAAGGCGCTCCAAAGGTTGATAAAAGATTAAAGTTAATTTATAATATTCTTGTTATTTTTTAGTGTTTATTATGTTTTTTTATTAAACTCAATGGTTGTACTTTTTATAGCTGTTATATATTTTAAATTAATTAAAATATTTTGTTTTTGCTCTTAAACAATTTTATGCCATTTATATCATTTATTTCTTCAAAATTCAAATTAAAATTCTAACAAAAAAAAAATTATATAAAAAAATTTTAAAAATAGTAAAAATTGGTGACCCCGAAATTAAATTAATTTGATTTGAATAAAACATATACATATATACTCGCAAATAATTTTCTTTTATAAAATAGAGATTTATGGTGAGAGGGTGAAAATTTATAGTATATTTTTCAACTCAGAATTATAAATAAATAATTTAATAAACAATTTTTAAAAATGTGTTAGAATGGAGGGAAACATTTTATATAAAAAAACTGTTGTTCGAACTAAAATTTAAAATTATCCATAAGCTCAACAAAATCTGAATTAAAATTCAGTGAAAAACATTACAGGCATACTAATCCAGAATTCAATTCACGCATTTTAATTAAAAAAAATTACGTCAAGGTCTGTTCACCCTTATAAATATGCACTTTGTAATTTTTTTTTATTATTAGACTGACCAAAACGATTACTAAAATGACGAATAGGGAAAAAATCGCAGTGGTATGAAAAATAGATGTACGATTCTTAGCCATACTGAATGTGATTATAAAATTTCTTAAAAATCGGTCAAGTCGTCTCGGAGGAGTAGAATGACTAACGTCATGACTCACATACCCATACATATACACACATATATATATATATATATATATATATATATATATATTTGTAATATTTTTGCAGCCCAACCGTCGAATTAAAAAAAGATTAAATAACAAAATTATTTATTTCATTAAACGTTTCGACACTTGATGTGTGTCATCATTCAGTAATCTAAAGAACATATAACATAAATACAAAGTTGATGATAAATATGAATATATAAAAAGGGGGAAATTATACATATCAAACCAGGAAAAACAACAGAAAAAATCAATTATGATGTAAAATTGATTGAACACTAAATTTGTAAAAAAATAATAATATACTATTATATTAACAAACGAGAAATTGAAGGAGCACATGCTGCCCTCCTATATTTTATGTTATTAATAGCGGTGCACTAGGGACACTGATCAAGGTTTTCTCCTTTTTATATATTTATATTTATTATCAACTTTATATTTATGTAATATGTTTTTTAGATTACTGAATAATGACACACATCAAGTGTCGAAACGTTTAATGGAATAAATAATTTTGTTATTTAATCTTTTTTTAATTCGACGGTTGGGCTGCAAAAATATTACAAATATATATATATATATATATATATATATATACATATATATATATATATATACATATATATATATATATATATATCTACATATATATAAAAATTAATCGGGTGTTCCTTCCTGACGAAATAACTTCAGAACGCACGAACCGATTTCGACAATTTTGCATTCGTTGGAAAGGTCTCGGGCTCCGCAAGGTTTATAGCTAAGAAAATTAGTGGTGCATGGCATCGTACCTCAATGCAAATTGCTGGAACTTCACGCACCGTAATTAAAAATTTGAGTAATGACATTAGTGAGAATTATCAGAATTATGTTTGGTTAAGTCAACGAGCAATTCTTGCCGCAAAGAATAATTATGTACACGCACTGAATTTCACCATTCAATCAAAAATTGCTGGCGATTTGGTGACATACCAATGATTCCGACTGGTCTTTCGTTTGACTTCAAACGATTGCAATTTTCAGTTCGCCTTGCGTTCGCAATAACAAGTCGCAAGGCCAATCGCTGGAAAACCATCCGCTTTGTTTGTGTTAACGTCAGACCAAAAAACAAAAAATGTGGTTTACCAAAGAGCACTTCAATGAAGCGGATAATTTGCGGATTCACTTTCATTTACTTAGAGAAGTTCAACTACAAAACACTTCATTTTTGTAATCGAAATAAATTCATTACTGTTGTATAATAAAATCAAATTTTTCCTTTTCAAATATAAATCAAACAAAAAATTTCTTCATCTTTCTCACGAAACCATCTGGTGGCGAAACGGAGTTTGTCGGGTTTGCTAGTATATATATACACACACACACACATATATATATATATATATATATATATATATCCGTGTGCAAAAACTAAAAATCGATATTTCCTTCCGCTATTTCCAGAAATAAAAGTAACACTTGCATATCTTATATCCGATAAGCTACCCCTGATAACACGCAACAAGCGCACGCGATAATAAAAAACGCAATTAAACCAAAACCAAAACCAAAACCTCCACAACATAATAAATAAAATAATAACTCACACGTCACAACCATCGATTTTGTATATCTATTTCTACCAAAATGTTACAGGTGTTCATTATCCTCCTCCTTCGCCATGATACAATACTCTAGCGAGCGCTGGCTGACCTTAATAAATAACTATAATAATTACAACTTAATAAATAAAGTAATAACCCACAACTATCGATTTTAGTTTAGTCAATAAAGCAAAAACTCACAAACAACTATTAACAAAACTCAATAATGTCATGCTCTCAGTTTCTAATTGGTTTCAAAATAATAATCTTGTATTGAATAATAACAAAACAAAATTAATTTCTTTTAATAATAATAATAAAATTTGTCGAGATATTTCCCCGTACATCTTTAATAATAACATTTATGAGTTTTTGAATAATACAAAATTTCTTGGTATAAATATTAGTAACAGTATGAAATGTTCATCACATAATTAACAGTCTGAATCCTAAATTATCAAAAACCTGCTTTATGCTTCGTAATTTAAAAATGAAAGTAAGCAAAGAGAGCCTTTTCACAATTTATTACTCATATTTTTATTCTAACGTAATTTACGGCATTCAATTTTGGGGGTTTTCACCATTACTAACATCAGTTTTTCAATTACAGAAAAAAGCAATCAGAGTTATGTTTTCCCTTTCGTCCACTACATCTTGTCGACCTTTTTTCCATGAGCACAAGATTCTACCCGTTCCATGTATTTTTCTCCTAATCACCCTCTGTTTTATAAAAAATAATGGTAACCTGTTTAATTTAAGCCCAAATCCCGAATGTATTCATTATGACACAAGACATAAACTTGTAAAAGGTCCCACATTGAAACTGGCCTCCTCATTTAATACCTTAGATGGTTTGGGCATAATGCTTTACAATAAGCTGCCACTAGGTATTAGAGAAGTTGGAAATAGGAAATTTTATAAACTACTCAACACATTTTTTAAAGAGCAAGTTTTTTTACTCTATTGATGAGTATTTGAGTTTTAACTTTCAATAAATTATTCTGTGAAAATTAGAATAAGATTTTTAAGTGAACATTTGTTTTTTTTAACTTCCCGTAGGGTAAGTTATTGTAATGGGCCAAAAATCGGAATTGAAAATTTTTACATTTCTCGACGTTTTGAAGGTTTCTGAACATTTTTAAGGGGCATACCTCAGAAAAAATGGATGTGTGTGTGTGTATGTGTGTGTGTGTATGTATGTATGGATACAAATTTCCAGTCACGTTTTCGGGCGCACGGATCAACCGATTTGAATGGTTCAAAAAACATTCGATTCCTATTGATAGGGAAAAGAGCTGATTAGTTTTTGGCAAAGGCAGGTCCAGCCGTTTCGGAGATACGGAGCAAAGAGTGCAGAAAATAGAAATCGAATTTTTGAGAGAACGGAGTATCCGATTTGAATGATCTAAATGTTTATTAGTTTTTGGAAAAGGCAGGCCTAACCATTTCGAAGATACAGAGCTAAATGTGCAAAAAATGGCAGTTTTTGAGAGAACTAAGCGTCCGATTTAAATGATTCAAAGAACTTTCTGCTTGTCTTAACAAAATAATTGATTTTGGAAAAAAAAAATTTGTTCCATTTTTCTTTTTTTTTTTTTAGTTTTTTGTATATCGAAAATATTTCAGATTTTATTTTTAATTCTGACTATAGTTCTAATATACTTTACAAATAATTTCAACTCTGCAATTCAGTTTATATAATTCTTATAAATATTAGACAATGTTACAATATTTATAATAATCTATTTGAAAACATTCAGTATTCCTCGAACATTTCGTTACGGTACGGGAAGTTCCAGCAATTTGCCTTAAGGCACGATGCCATAATTGCCTCAAGACAGAATTCCACTTACAGCTAGTTTAGACATAATTTTAGAGTTCTAACAAAATTTTGAGTCACAGTATAAATTATAGAAAAGTGTCCGGAAGGCAATTAAAACTTACATGACATAGGTACATCACTCGAATTGTAATAGACTTGTGCAAATTCGATAGGTTTTTTGGCATATAAATATTGATCTCACATGAGAATGGGCTGAGTAAGATTTAAAGAGAATTTCATAATCTACATTTTCCCTCAAACTCAAAATTTTGGGTTACAGTACCAATTCTAGAAAAGTGTCCGGAACATACTTCATGCAGGTACATCACTCGGACTGTAATGGGCTTGTTTTTTTTTAAATTATATTTCATTTTTATATTGTATGTATTATTATCTATTAATTTAAGTTATGTACCATATAATATAATATCTATACATCTATTTCTATCGGATAAAAATGAAATTTTTATCTTCCATAATTTCACAGGTATCCATTATCTTCCGCCTTCACCATGATACAATACTCTAGCGAGCGCTGGCTGACCTTCCTCTACGGCCTGATCATGGTCTGCGGCACCGTCTGCTCCGGTGCCTGCGCCGTCGCCTGGAATCACTGGAAATTCGTCCTGGACACCTGCACCATAGACGTCACCTGCGGCTGTATATTGAACGCCAGGTCGACGCATCGCTATTTCACCGGAGGACATGTTTCTTATTGCCATTGGGCGGTGAGCGCGAAGACAGAGAATTTTGTGCAAATACTGAATTATTGAAATTTGTTGTTATTTTTGCAGGTTTATGGTCTGTTGCCATCAGTAGCAGTCGCTTTGGTATTTTTCATGTATCATGGTTACAGAGTTTGTATCAATAGCAAAGGAAAGCCGCCGAAGTCTTATGAGGAGACTGTTATTACTTCGAGGTAGATACGTAGGATTATTTTATACATCATGTTTTTTTATCTATGGCATATGATGTAGACTTTTATGCGGCAATTCTGGCGTAACAGAGCTCATAAAATAGCGATGTCATGTCATGGTTTTTGGTAGTGAAAATTTATATTTATTAACTTCCCGTAGGGTAGTTATAGTAATGGGCCGAAAATCGAAAATTAAAATTTTTGCATTTCTCGACGTTTTGAAGGTTTCTGAACATTTTTAAAGGGCATACCTCAGAAAACTAATGAATGTGTGTGTGTGTGTGTTTTGTATGTCCGCATTTTTTTGTCCACGTTTTCGGGCGCACGGATCAACCGATTTGAATGGTTTAAAAAACATTCGATACCTATTGATAGGGAGATGTGCTGATTAGTTTTTGGCAAAGGCAGGTCCAGTTGTTACGGAGATACGGAGCAAAGAGTGCAGAAAATACAAATCAGGTCTTTGAGAAAATGGAGTATCGGATTTGAATGATCTGAAATACATTCAATTTGTAATGATTGGGAGAAGAGGTGATTAGTTTTTGGCAAAGACAGGTCCCGCCTTTTCGAAGATACAAGGTTAAATGTGCAAAAAATTGCAGTTTTTGAGTGAATTAAGCGTCCGATTTGAGGATAAAAAATTATTACATTTTTTTTATTTTCCATACAATATTTTTGTAATTTTTGATTAAAAATTCAAACTAGTTGGTATTGGTATTTTGCCTTGAGGCAAGTTACATGAACTTCCCAATATGTGTAAATAATCCACTTAATCAATAATAATAACAAAACTACTCATTTTCTCAAACTTTGAGGATTTTTTAAAATTAAACTACTTGTCTTGTAAAGCCGTAATATTTCAGTTCCATAAGTTCTATAAGATCATGTTATATATCGCCATAAAAAGTTCCATAAAAATCGGCTCAAATTTGTTTTTCAACAGTTATATACAAGAAAACGGCTCGGTAGATTTTCACCTAAAACTAATCAGTATCATTCCCAACTAATATCTTTCGAACAGTTTTTGATTTTTTAAAATCAATTCGGTACAATGAGCTTAAATGTGGACGAAAAGTTTAACACCCTTTTTCAAATTACAAAGAAACGGCTTGGCAGATCGTCTCACAAAACTGACAAACTATAGTGCTCATTGAGATACATCGAATGGCTTTTAAATTTTTGAAATCAGCTCAGGTGTTTTTGAGCAAACATCGATGAAAAGTCTAATTTTGACAAATGCCAAAAAAACGATACTAATTTTTGCAAGCTTTGACGAATTTTTAAAGCTAAACGAGTTGTCGTAGAGCCGTAATATTTCAATATAATCTAGAAGAATATAATATTTACCGTCAAAAAAAAAATCATAGAAATCGTCGATTTTTTTTTAAAAAAAACTTTATTATAAAAAAACGGCCCGGCCGATCTTCACCAAAAACTAATCAGCACGATTCCCAACCGATATCTTTCAAACGGTTTTTGAATTTTCAAAATCGATTCAGAATTGCGGGCTAAAACGTGGACGAATTTTTTTTCACTTTTCTGCTATTTATAAAGAAACGGTTTGGACAATCGTCAGAAACGCTAGTCCTCATCGAGATACATTGAATGGCTTTTTTTCACACACACACACACATACACACACACACATACTTTTTTCTTAAATTTGGTCTCATTCGATTCAGAATGGCTTGAAACGTCGAGAAAACATAAAATTAGCGAATCGGATTTTTTTATGAAAACAAACTTCTCCTTCGGGAATTTAATAAATCTTCATCCCCAAATCTACCTCTCTTCCCAGGTCTCGAGAGCACATAAGCATGGTAACCCGCGTCAAAGACACCGCCTCACCTCACAATGCTCCAAACGACGACGAAGCAATCCACCTATGCTGGCCTCCTGCTGCAGCAATATGCGCCCTCGTTTTTCTAGTCTGTCTGGTACACGCTTCAATGTTAACCGACGGCTACTACAAAAGTTGCTACGAATACAGAACCGAACTCGGTAAAATCCTGAGGGCCAGCGGAAACCAAGTAAGATAAAAAATCGATAGGGTTGATGTAAACTAGAGATGGGTAACTCACTCCGGAGTTATCACTCCGATACAACTCCTCCCTCGAGAGTGAATCCGAGTGGAGTTGTCTCGCCGGATTTGTCATATCCGACTTCCCTAAACTGGTACTAAATCTGCTACTGCGTTTTTGCTTTGGGAAGGAAGCTGTCGCTTTCTCGTCTCACAGGCAGTTTTATGACCTTTTAGGTATACGATTTTTTTTCCAGAAAATACAAAAATATTACTTCAACAATGAAATTGTGTTCAAGTGTGAATAGCTCCAATGTATAATTTATTGAATAGTAAAGAGTCATATTTCTAACTGCGACAATCTTTGGCCGTGAATGACGGCTATCAGGAATATACATACCGAAACAAAATACATATAATCTGATTTTTACATAGCTTGAAATGACAATACTTTAGAGTGCAAAATATATCAGTGACGTCAATAGTATTAAAGCAGCAAAAAATATTTAGTATTATATTATTACTTTTACACAATTATATAATTGTCTAAAAGTAATAATATGCTAATTGAACTACGCGATATAATATTAATTCTCAAATGGAAATAGCAGAAGAAAAATTAGAATGCAGAAGTAAAGTATTATTATTTGGTGAAATGATAAATATTTTGCTTTTATCACAAAGTTTACTCATTTGGCAACTCTTTTTTTCAAATGTTCGTTCAAGTCCAAAGATGGTTCTTACGAAAGCCCTTTCGAATAATTGCCGGAAAAATCCTAAAAACAGCCCTTTTCTTTTTCTCATACAAACGTTTTCTAACTAAAACGTAGAGTCAATTTGAGTTTTATTGCTATTATATAAAGCTCATATTAAATTACAAGCACTCACTGTATACTCCTTCTTAACGATTATTCGGTTTTTGATAAATCTTTCTGAAGTTTGTTAAGGAAATTTTCTAGGATGTATGTGATTATAAAGTACTGGGATGTATGTGCAATATTGTGGAAATAAATAGAAAAAATCGCAAAAACGACATGTCATTGTTTGCATTGAAAATAAATAAAAACTATCATCTGCCAAAAATTTCAATTTGACAATATTAAAATATGTATAATAAATTTATTATTATTTACATTATTATTGCCAAAAAGCAGCTGAGATGTGCTAGAAATTAAAATAATATAAAATACAGTATATGTATGGCAGATTGAATGATACACATATGAACAAATATGACAAATTAATTCACTTTGAAATCAAGTATTAATCAGGGCCGGTCCTACCTTTAATGAGATGCATGCGAAAAATACGAGCGCACGCCTTAGGGGGCGCCAACACAAGATTCGGATAATAAATTTTCAATATAGTTTTTTTTTCAATATATAATTTCTTTGCATTTTTACTAATCTTTCCACGATATTTTTAAAATTCGTAGAAATTTCACTTTATAACAACAAATGGGAAAGTAGAGATGAATACATACAAATCGGCCCTCACGACATCGATTAGAAGAAGTTTAAGATGCAATTTTCGATATCTTCAATAATTAAAAATTAAATTAATTTAATCCAACATGAAGTACAAGTGTTATATCATGATTATTATTATGTTATACCGTTTAAAAGTCTTCAATTTCCAATATAGTGTAGGAATTGAGACTCATCATTTCATTTAAAGCAGTTCTACATTTAACATCGCTCAGATTAATAATGTATATGCATTTTGGCGTGAAGAGTAATTAAAAAAACAATTATTATTATATTTAGGTAAACAGTGAATATTAGTATATCATATTGAAAAATGTAGACATGGGTACAGGACAACGTCTGTCGGGTCGTCTAGTTTTTATATAAAATTAATCCAAAAATTCAATTATTTTCTTATCAAAAGAAAATAATTAAATCGAATTTGATTCTCAAGCTTTGCGTTTTTACTTTGGTCAACACTGTTAAAATTACGAGTCATTGAATCGATCATGCGGTCGACCGAAAAATGTTACAACTCGTCATCTATTTGTGAATTTTTTAGAAAGATTATTTTATTGATATTTTTTTAATTTTATTTTATTCATAAATTTTCATTTCAAAAAATTAAATGAGATATGACAAATCCTTAGATGCATAAACAACGCACTATAGAACGCATTTGTGTCGAGTATTTCGGTTTCAAAGTTGTCGGAGTCGTAGAGTTTTTAAGCGGATATAACTCCTCCTTGAAGTGGAGTTAAATCGGAGTCGATCCGACTTCGGATATGATAAGCCCATCTCTAATATGAATTGCAAAGTTTAAACTATTTTTAAGTTTTAACTAATTTTTTATCCCAGGTGGCAGTGATTCAATCCCGGTTGGCTTGTACGTCGATATTTGATTTTATGGATTATCTGCAGCCTGATGTACGTGATCGACATCGTGGTGATTTTATTAATACGGCTGCTGCTCTGCAGAGCGCGCTGGTGTCTTCTTGGGTGGGAGTCTTTGCTTGGTTTTTGGCCTTTTTGTTAAATGTGGGCCAGGCCAGGAGATCGCGGTTATTGAGGGAATAAAATTGGGATGATGATGTAGTTTTGTTTGAGATCAAGGGAGTTAGGACTGTGGAAATTATGAGACCGGGGTTGTAAATGTATATATAATACTTATTTGATCACTTTTGCAACGTCAAAATATTTTCATATCGGTTTTTCGATCGAGAGTACATTGAGCGAGTAATTAGATAATATGAAAAGCTTATTCGTGGATTAGCCTATAAATAATATAATCAGCAGTATTAAAACTTCATACAACAAATAATTTAGTGTATATTTGTAGTTAATCTTGGAAGTTTTTTGACAATAATAATACTGATACTACGCAGAATTTAGCATATACCAGCATTCAAGTATAATTAATAAGTAAGTTGATATTTCTATAATTGTCATCTGTCTTTTTTCTCAAGCTTAAGCTTACTTTTAATAAGTTGTCGAAACTAGGTATTTACTATTCAGAGTCTTTAATAGAAATGTCACGTTAAATTTTTGGGTCGAAAAAATCTATATTATGATTTAAATTATTTATATGTTCGGTCTTGAATTGTTTGGGATTTATTGAGTTTCTCCGATATAAAAAAAATCGCAATTAGAACAATTAATCTGATATACTAAGTTCCTGAGG